GAGGTTCACTTCCTAGACACCACGGTACAAATAAGTGACGGTCAAGTTACCAACACCCTATACCGAAAACCCACCGACCGCTATGCCTACCTTCATGTCTCCAGCTTCCATCCTGGACACACCACACAATCCATCATCTACAGCCAAGCGCTGAGGTACAACTGCATTTGCTCCAACCCCTCAGACAGAGACCAACACCTACAAGATCTTCAAGCATTCTCAAAACTACGATACCCGCACGAGGAAATAAGGAAACAAATCAACAGAGCCAGACGTGTACCCAGAAGTCTCCTGCTGCAAGACAAGCCCAAGAAAGAAACCAACAGAACTCTACTGGCCATCACCTACAGTCCTCAGCTAAAACCTCTCCAATGCATCATCAGTGATCTACAACCCATCCTGGACAACGATCCCTCACTTTCATAGGCCTTGGGAGGCAGGCCAGTCCTCGCCCACAGACAACCCGCCAACCTTAAGCATATTCTCACCAGCAACCACACACCGCACCATAGTAACTCTAACTCAGGAACCAATCCATGCAACAAACCTTGATGCCAACTCTGCCTACATATTTACACCAGCGACACGATCACAGGACCTAACCAGATCAGCCACATCATCACCGGTTCATTCACTTGCACATCCACCAATGTCATATACGCCATCATGTGCCAGCAAGGCCCCTCTGCTATGTACATCGGCCAAACTGGACAATCCCTACATAAAAGGATAAATGGACACAAGTCAGATATTAGGAATGGCAATATACAAAAACCTGTAGGAGAACACTTCAACCTCCCTGGACACACAATAGCAGATTTAAAGGTAGCCATCCTGCAGCAAAAAAACTTCAGGACCAGAGTTCAAAGAGAAACTGCTGAACTTCAGTTCATTTGCAAATTTGACACCATCCGCTCAGGATTAAACAAAGACTGTGAATGGCTAGCCAACTACAAAAGCAGTTTCTCCTCCCTTGGTGTTCACACTTCAACTTCTAGAAGAGGGCCTCATCCTCCCTGATTGAACTAACCTTGTTATCTCTAGACTGATTCTTGCCTGCATATTTATACCTGCCTCTGGAAATTTCCACTACATGTGTCTGACGAAGTGGGTATTCACCCACGAAAGCTTATGCTCCAATATGTCTGTTAGTCTATAAGGTGCCACAGGACTCTTTATCGCTTTTTACAGATCCAGACTAACACGGCTACCACTCTGAGGCTACGTCCTCACTATGGGGGGGGTGGGGGTTGATTTAAGATACGCAAATTCAGCTACGCGAATAGCGTAGCTGAATTCGACGTATTGGAGCCGACTTACCCCGCTGTGAGGACAGCGGCAAATCGACCTCCGCGGCTCCCCCGTCGACAGCGCTTACTCCTACCTCCGCTGGTGGAGTACAAGCGTCGATTCAGGGATCGATTGTCTCGTCCCGACGAGACGCAATAATTCGATCCCCGAGAGATCGATTTCTACCCGCCGATTCAGGCGGGTAGGGTAGACGTAGCCTTATACTCAAATATGACAGTCTTTCTCTCCAGCATTTCAGTGATAGATTTGGGGTATCTCTTTTCATGTTTTCTGACCTACACAAGTTGTTTTATTATTTAGACTTTTTGACTAGCATCAGATGGGAGACCCAATTAAAGTGCACCGTCACCAATAAAATGCCCCTGAGATGCAGAGCTGGCCTGAACAAAAAAATTATTAGTGTTTTCATGTGGTGAATATGTTTGTATAGGCAGTTTCTTGCCTAGCTATAGTTCCTGAGATAGATATGCATCTACCTTCTTTATCTATTACTTGAACTGGGAAGATTTTTCTGCTAAGGAGAACCACACGTCTGTTTACTTTTCTTACAAAACACAGAATATATATCCCAAATCCAACCACTTTTCATGTTAGTCAAATCTTCTTGAAAAGATGTTTCTTGTTGATAGAACTATGGAAACGTAGGGGCTGGAAGGGTCCGCAACAGGTCATCTAGTCGAGCCCCCTGCACAGAGGCAGGACAAAATATCATTCCCGATAGGTGTTTGTCTAACCTATTCGTTAAAATGACAGGGATTCTACAACTGCCCTTCCGTTGATGCCATGGTAGCATAGATGCCGCCTAGAGGGCCCTAGCTGTGCTGCTGCAGTGTAGACATACCCTGAGTGGCAGTATAGATGTCAGGGATAAACATTAGCGCCAAATTTTGAGTTTCTGCATTCTTGTGCTAAGTGAAGGTATGGAGGAGAGGAGGCAAAGGTGGCTTTAAGACACCTGTATTTCAGCATCATTAGGGGACTGATTTGGACCTGCTTGAACTTTATGCTCAGACTGCAATTGCCTTCCAGGGACCAAGCAACAGAAAATAGCTGGAGCTCAGTGTGGTCCGGATACATCCCCTCTCGTTGGTGCTTTCTGTTGGCTAAGTGTGATGCTGCAAGCTGTCCTGCCCCGGGCGCCTCCCATAGGTTGTTGACCTCTTTAGGTGGATCTTCAGTACTTCAGCCCTCTGGCCAAGTCACACAGTCTAAAATGGATTAACCATTCCAGAGTAGCAAAAGTCCCACAAACTGTCGGCCCTCACCAGGGTCTTCAGCCTCATCTCTGGACCCTTTAAATCCAGCCCTGTGCTTGGGCTTCTAAAGGAGATTTGTCCCCTTCTCGGGGCTTAGACCACTTACCCAGTGACTGTGAGGGAACCCAGGCCTGCCCACTACTTCAGGTCCCAACCTAGGGACCCTATAATAACAACCATGTACCACTGCCTCCAGTTTGCTGCTACTATTCCCTGGGCCTTTTCCCACATTTTCTCTTCACCCTTACCTCAGGGCTGTGTCTCTCAGATCCTCCTCCTCCTCACTGAATGCAAGTGCCACCAGAACCTGTCTTCCAGGTCTCTCTCAAGCACCCTTCCTTGCTCTTCTGGTCCCAGCCAGAGACTGACATGCTCAGCCCCTGTACCTCCTTTTATCTGAGCCTGTTGGCCTCTGACTGGCTGTTTCTATGCGGCCTCTCTAGGCAGGCCTGACAGACCCACCTTTCTTGGGGCACAGTGTGGTAGGACCATGGGGCCTCCAGCAGGAGGCCTCAAAGGGACTGGTACACCCTGTCACACCCCCTCCCTCCAGTTCACTACCCTGACACACATACGCATGCACATACACACAACCTGTGGCTAAGGACTGTGTCATAGATTGGCATGGACTTGCTCCTCCAACTGTACACCAGCAGGTAGGCCCCAGACTCAAGGGGCTCAAGCTGTGGAGCTAAAAATAGTGTAGTTGTTTGGGGTCTGTGTTCAGCCTCCAACCTGAACCCAAACAACTACACTACTATTCTATAGCCCTGCAGCCCCAGCCTGGTGAGCCTGAGTCAGCTGACCCAGGCCAGCCACTGCCGTGCTGAAGGTCTTCTATTGCAGTATAGATGTACCCCTGGAGGCTACTCTACCTAGAGTTGAGGGCTGAACAGGCCCTTAGCTAGCTTCAAAATCGGAGAACTGCAAAGAAGCATAAAGGTACCTTTGCTTCACTTTGTGTCCTGCACCTAATACTGCTACTCCCAAGATTTGGGCCTGCTGTAGTCAATACCCCAATTTAGTCCTCTGCTTCTGAAATTCTGACTTTGAATTCTCATCACTTTTAATATTATTTAATCTTTTATGCTCAGAAGTCGGTTACTCAGTAAGTAGACTTATGCCTTTCTCCACTTTTAGAGTTTGAGTTGCAGCTTCTGGATTTCTTGTCCAGACCTCCCTGCTTGGGGCTTGATGGTCTCTAGGGGCTGATTCCACATCAGAGCAGTCTTCAGTGAATCCTAATTAAAAATTGGTAATTTTACCTTTGGGCTCCTTTCCAAGCCTGCTTCTTGTACATCTTAGAAATTGCCATGTTTAAATGTCTGGCAGGGTTGATGGTGGATTTCTAGTGCTCATCATCAGAGTCCTCTGCCTTATTGGGACATGTGACATCCCTCTCAGATCTTTCAATATATTTTTTATTTCTTATTAATAAATAAGAGCGTATTATGGGAGCAGGAGTTTCTACTCATGCTGATGAAGGAAGCAGATTAGGACTCTGACCAGTCTTGGACATAACAAGCAGAATCATGATCAAAGCAGAAATGTTTCTATCCTATTATCCACCATAGCCACCTCTGACATTTTTCCCTTCAGATTCATAAGATGTTGGAGCAAGGACTGCCATTTACTATATGTGTGTAGAGCACCTAGCACAATGGGATGCTCTGCTGGTTAGCCTCTCGCTATTACTGCAACAGTAATGTTTAATAGTGTTAACAGTGCTGCCCTGCTCAGGCATACCTCACAAGTTTCCCTGTCTCAGGAGGGACAGTCATTACACTTTAGCAAAATATTTAACTTGCATTCCTTCTAAACTCTCCCAGACTCCTATGTGCTCCAGTGGAGCTAAAATAGTTTATTATCCACCAGGTGAGAAAGGGAATAGGAGAAACTGCCTGGACTTCCCTTACTGCCCCCTCCCCCCAGGTGTGTGCCTCCACCTCTCATTTAATAGGTAGAAAGAGTGAGGGAAATAGATGGTTGTGAGGGTCTCTAAGAGCAGAGCACACCCTCCTCCCATTAGCCAGAGGAAGGGAGGGTTGCTCTAGTTAAAATGAAACCAGCCAACAATAATGATCTTCCTCCTCCTCCTGAAATCCCTTCTCATCTACTCCGTAGTTTATTGCTGGTGGAAATCTCTCTGGGGATCTTGTTTGTGTCTCTGCTTCAGCCCCTCCTATGAAACTCTCACCCATTGTTTTGATTTGTTAATCAAAAACTGAACAATACGTTTTATTTTTATTAAAAAGCCTCCCTTCTCTCCCCCCCCCCCCATACCCTTTACTGATATTTATGCAAATCTCCTAATACCAGGAAGTAAACTGAAAACTCTCAGCCAACCCACTGAAACCGAGCGAAGTTCCTTTTCTGCAGCGCACAGGGGTGGCCTCAGGCAGACTAGCGGCTTGGCTGCTCTGGAGTCTTTCTCTCTCCCAGCTGCAAAATCCTGTGGTCTTCAAAAAAAATCAAGCGTGTAGCTTTTCCTCTTCCCGAGGATAATCAGCTAATTTAACTCTGAACTACACCCTGGCTCCTACCCCCCCTCTGTGGCTGAAGTAACCGTGGAGTTTACTTGCTGCTTCCAAAGTTTCACACTCAGGGAAGTAAGTGCCTTTCTTTTGTCTCCTAATTTGGAAGTGGATAGCTTGTTCGGGCTACTGTGTCCAGCGGTAATTTCTGTGATCCTTTCAGACCAGTGGGGAATGTAGGGAACAGCCCTGCGCTGGCAGGGTACGGATTAATGGGACTTCCTCTTTAATTCATACAAATCATGGGCTTCCGACATTCCTAGAGTTTGTCAGAGGGAACGAGTGCTTCTCTCTGGTGATGAGAGGAAAGACGTCTTGGAACCTTTTTGGCAGCTGTCCCTGTTGCTTTGGTAACAGTTTTTTCCCACCTGGATTTACCTTGCAGATCAGAGGGACTAGACGCTTGTTCATAATAGACACTTGTTTGTTTGTTGCATAAAACAGTTTATCACAGGAGGTTGGGTTTTAGTTATTTTTTATTGTTGTTAGCGCTCATATAACACACTGTCTTTAATTACATTGGAATTTTCAGGCAGGAGAAAGAAGGGGCTGATTGAGGGCATTCTAGAATTATTACTGAATTAGCTAAAGGGTGATGATTGATTTGTCAGGTCATGGAACCTGATCTCTCTAATTCACTGACGTGAACAAGAAATATTAAATGAACCATGTGTTAAGGATATAGCCAGTTCAAAAGAGGAAGTGTGACACTAATGGGCAGCTTGTGTTTCTACCCCTTCAGGGAACAGTTCTTTGAACCTCAGATACAATTTATAGTACATTAGTTAAAAGGAAGTGAGAGTTCTTTTCAGACTGGTTAGCTTTTCGTTTAGCCCAGGGGAAGGGGTGTAGTTGCAGTCTAAGCTTTCCTGTATGGTTCAGCTTTTAAGGAAATACAGCAATTTATTTGAGAAGAAGACTTTAAAAAGGGATTACAGTTGATGGTTTGTTTTGATCTTCAAGGCTATATTGTCTTCAGCCAACCTTGACTATTCCTAATTAAAAACAAACAAAAAAGTTGGAATGCCAGAAGAATTTTCTTAGTCACTGTCACAAGCCAAGACAATAGACTTGGTTTAACTAAGAGAGAAAATATGGCCTCTGGATATTCTGTGTTTAAACTCTGGATTTTAAATCTACTAGTGTATAGTAAAGTAATTCCTGGAGCATCTTCAAATTAAAACTGCTTCCTCTTAGCTAGATATTAAAGTGTGCTCCTGCTTTTGAAAAAAATGAGAATGGTATTGTGATGTTCCATGTTTAATGTCTCTCACTGGCTTCCAGTCCAAGTCTGCTCAGTTTCTAAAACAAACAAACAAAAAACACTTTTTACTTTAAACTGCCAGACCTGCAAATTCTGTCTAGAATCTGAAAGTCAAGCTGGTTCTTTCTCGGTCGAACATCAGACAGTTCCTGTTTTTTCTCAAGCAAGAATAAAATTCAGCTCAATAGTCAAAACTAGTTTTAGTCATTAAAGTAAGCAGATATGACGACTCTGAATACACAGAGGGAACAAAAAAGTTGCAGTAGAAGTTGCCATTTTTTGCTTTCATTTTTCACAATGGAAGAGCACTTTAGATATTTTTTTCTGCCAAAAACTAAACAAACACTCTTCTCTCCCACACTCCCTGAAATCCCCTATCCCATCCCATCCCACCATTTTAAAACAGCATAAATTGAGGGGGAACTTTTTACCCTCGTACAGTATGATTCCTGCACGACCCTTGGAATGCCTGAACGCTGGATGCAAATAGTTGTAATGTAATATCTGGTGGTAGATAAATTGTGGAACACTTGCCAAATGATTATAAAAAAAATATGCAATATAGAACTATTTTAACAAAATAAAGATTAAATTGTGTTGGGGAGCCTAGTTTTCAAGAAGGGATAATCAAATTGCTTTAATGTGAATCTTTCCTGTTCTAGTACTGGATGCAGAACAGATGTGATGGTTTTATAAGTTTAATAAAGTGGGGACTTCACATCTTTATAATAAGTAGTGACAACATTGCAACTATGGACTGGAAGAGCCAAAGAATTTTCTCAGTAAAAGTAGAAACAGGATGAAAGTCTGACTGATAATGCTCTAAAAGGAGTGTATGGAATCACAGGAGACAATTAAAATTCATGGATTCTGGAGCCAATAGTTTCACATTCTGTTGACCTATTCCAAGATTGACTTAGAGGCTGCTGGAGGTCCCATCTCTTGAATGACACAAAACTAAGGTCCTCCTGGCCACCTGTGGCCATTAAAGATTACATGGCACAAGACGAGAGGCATTGTACTTGGTGTTCTGGCTAAAGTGCAACTTGCGGAGTAGCATCCTACCTAAAGATACCCTTAGATTTATTAGATAATGTACTCTTCATGTCTTTTCACATGGGAATGCTGCACTAGGGTTGTGGGGCGTTAAATAGCTAATCCCAGAAGTCATTGCATTTTTGAGGTGTGTGTTTCATACTTCATTTTGAGTAATTAAGTGTTTTGATCTTTAGGATGAGAAGTACTCACTTTGGGCCAGATAGTACCTCACCTAGAGGTGGGTATATGGAAGGCAGCAAGCACCTTTCCCCTCTTTATGTGGCCTGTGTAAGGGCCAGACATAATTGTAGCCCCTTTGCTCAGGGAAACTCAGGGTCTCCTCCCTCTTTTTTTTTTTTTTTTTTTTTCCCCTATATGAGTTGATGCTGCTCCTGTGAAGCTGGGCCAGAGCAGCTGGTGGGCAGACAAAGGGTGATGGTGAGAAGGAGGAGGGGGTGTAAACTCCACCTAATGCAAGGGTGAGACAGGATTCCTTGCAGCAGCCCCCCTGAGGTAGCATGGCGCTATGCTGCCCCCAACATGAGGCCAAGCCTTGATGGTATCAATGAGGCCCAACTCCGTGTGAGACGGTATTGCTATAAAGTAGAAGAAAAAGAAGAAAATCCATAGGGTGTGTTTTGTAGAATTCCTGCTGATAACTTGTACTCATAGTGTAGATATATCCATGAAAAAGTGCTGAGCACTTGTTTGAAACATTATGCTAGAGAGATCTATTCTTCACCTCTGTCTGAGGACTTTCAGCTACCCATAACCCCAGGCCAGATCGTGCCTCTAGATGATAATAGCCACATGGAGTGGGAAGGAAGCTCCCCAAGAATTGCTTCATGGGGCTTTTTCCTGTGTTCTTCAGTCAGGAGAATGGAGGGTCTGGCCCCACAAATCCTGAGGATCTCACAGGATTCATGTGGAATGGGCTGGACTTCCACTTGAGGCCAGGGAATCAAGTAGTATAAATGTATTTAAGCACAACCTTAACAAAACAACAACTCTGTATGAAATTGGCTAATGCCCCTTTAGGCTTTTGAGTAACCAGCTGCCCTTTTGTGAAATAGGAGGGTTGGGTGGGGGTTTTTTGTTTTGTTTTTTGTGCTGATCATGCTCCTGACACCATCAGTGACTGCAAGTTTTTTCCCCACACGAGAGTTTCTACCCTTCTCCAAAACATAGTTATGTATTTATGGATATAGCTGGCAAACACCTTCCAGACAAAATGAGATCAGAAGCAAGTCATGGCCAAGTGAACTATGTAAATTATTTTTAACAACATACGAGTTTTTTAGATCAACCCCACTGATGCAATTGTCAGTACACATACACGATGTAGTAACCTATTAACTATTTCAAAAATGTTTTAACAACATTCCAATGATGGCATTGAACATTTTTAGTTAAATTGTCCTTCAGAGAAGGATGGGAAATGCAGTGATCTTTTTAGCCTCATTCAACTACGCTTCCGTTAAATTTGATGTCTAAAGATAGAGTCAGTCTCAACAATCTTCAGCATCTTTCTTGAAGATTACTATCCTAGCATAAATATAGAGGCAGAATCAGTCTTGTGTGGTGTTTGTATGACAGATATGAGAGCTGCTTGGTCTGATATTCATAACGAACCTCTATTTAATGTCCAGGCCTAAAGAACTACTCATAGGGATCGGGATGCTACATACATTACTGTGGGAAATAGCCTCTACCCTCATGAATAGAGATGACATTTTGACAGAAGCACTTGGCGGGGAGAGATGTTGTTATGAGAGTACTGCCAAATTCAGTGTTTGGGGAGGAGGAGGAGAACAGCATTATTTGAAATGAAGACCTTCAACCTATGTATCCTATACGTTAGGACTGTATTGTCTGTCTTATTTAGACTGCAAGCACCTGGGGTAACTATAATGTATTCCTTTGTACAGCATTGAGTACCCCATCATACACTGTCCCAGGTATAATGATAACTCCCAGTCTAAGCAACGTGTCCTCCTGCCTCTGAGGCCTTTGGTGCACATAATGTAAGGTCAACACTGCTCTTCCTGTCTAAGCTGTGGGTGATATACTAAAAAACTCACACCTACTTTGCTCACTTACATCTTCAAGTTCTAGTTTTCCTTTATACATTCTTTTGATTGAGCCTATCGTCTCAGTAACAATAACAATTGGATTTTTTTAGTTCTTCTGAAGAATACCAGTTACAATATAGTCATTTTGTGAAATATTGAGCTGAACCATGCTGCAGTACATACTAGGAATTAGTGTGCATGGTCAGGGCCGGCTCTGGCTTTTTGGCCGCCCCAAGCCAAAAA